CTTTGCTGATTTATTGTCACCAGAACACATTCACAGTTTGCAAATGTAATGATAATGCTCCTATTGGAGTGATATGTGAGAGGGAAGAAGAGTGCAATAGGTGTGTCAATCTATTTTTGACATTACACATAAACTTAATGAGTTACCCAGAATGAAAAGACTTTGTGAATTGCAAGGGAAACAGGTTCTTAATTCAGCTTAAACAAAACCAAACAAAATAAAAAACAAACAAACAAAGCCACGACCAAAAACAACAACAAAATTGAAAATGTACACCCTAAAAGCACAATTGTTGTACCTTGATTCTCCATCTGTAGTTGGCATATCCTCCACCAACTCAGGTTATTGTCAAAAAAACCTTGGAGAAGAAAGTTGGAAAATCTCAAAACTCAAAGAATGACATTTGCAAATATGACAGATGTGGGACATGGAGAGAACGTTTAATAAAAGGATGGATTTGTCAGAACTGAGCAATTTTTAATCTCCAAAAATGTCTAGAAGAGAAAGTGGGAATATTTGGGATTTGTCAGGGTAAAATCCATAGTCTGCAGGTGGTGGGTGTGACTAAAAACAAGTAATTCAAAAGAATTTGTTCATCCAGAAATACTTGAAGATCCTGCAATTTCCTTTCTAAAGATGACGAGGTCACTGGAAGCGCCGTGTCGGGCAGTGGGCAGGAATCCCAGGGCTTCCCGGGTGCTCATCTCCACCCGGGATAGCCCGGGAAGGGGTCACCTCCGGGGCCTCGGGAGCGGAGCCTGGACAATCCCGCGGCATCGAGCTCCACCTGCTGCAGTAACTCTGCAGCATTGCTGCCTCCCTTCTACCTGGAGCTGCCACATGCCAGCTCGAGAAAAATGACCATAATCATTTCCCTGGAAAAATTCTGGGTCATTTCCTCGTGTAATCTCACTTTATGAGGATGTTTCATGTATTACTTTATGATTTTTTTTTTAAGAAAACCTATTGTTTCTTACATGTGGAGTTGTGTGAGATTATTTTTTTTTTAACATCACTATAATGAAAGCAGGAAATGATCATTGAAACAGGCCTCTTGATGGCTTAAAGCAAATTAGATGAACTATGATGAAAGTCTTCTTAGGTTGGAAACATTAAAAAAATCCCAACCTCCAAGCTCCAAAGATTGTTGAGATTGTCATGATGATATATTGCTGAATGTAGCAAATTAGACATACTAGTAATGTTCTCTGGTTTTATATCTGCACTGCAAATTAAAAAGAGAGATCTCTACTCTTCTCTAATTACTACTGTTTTAAGCTCAGATTGCACCTTTTCAGTACATGTCATTGTAGTGAAAGATAATGTTGTTGAAAAGGAAGCTCTTCCCTTCTGTTCTCTGTGTTGAGGGTGATTGAATCCCATCATCAGTGCCTGAGTGGAGGTGGGGATGTGACACCTCCCTCCTTCAGCATCTGTGCAAAGGGCAGGGAGCTCTTTTTCCTTTCCCCGTGGACTGGCAGAGCTTGATGGCCACAGGGAGGATGCAGAGAGATGTTGCACCTGAGAGAACTTTTTTTTTCAGTGCTCTGTGACATTAAACACTCAAAATGAATAAGGTTAAGTGGCTCCAGACCTTACCAGTGGTCAGGGAAAGCAGACTGGAAATTACCTGGTCCTGGACTGTCCAAATCAGATAAATCTTCTAGTTCTATCTTTAAATACAGACAATGTGTGCAATTTAAAAAAAAAAAAAAAAGTCCCCTGCATGTTATCCCTGTATCAGATGATGAGAAAGCTGACACAAGTGCACAGGTTTTGGTGTTGTTGGGCTGGTGCTGAGGTGGTTGGTGTTATGGATTATAGACAGGCCTTGCAGAGAAGACAGCCATAAGGAAATAGCAACTGAAAAGGAGAAAGAAGATCAAGGGATATTCAAATAGATAGAATTTATTGGATTTTTCACTGAACTTTCCAAAACTGTGCCCTGATACGAGTTAAATATTACCCAAAATATGAAAACTTCTCCAATTTTCACAACCAATCTGCTTCTGAACCAGCTTCTCTGAAGGTGTTTCACCTGCAGTCTTCTATTCCATCCATCTGACAGTTCTCTACGGTCAAGAGTACTCTGAAATTTAGAAGGGCTGATCAGAGGAAATATTTGTCTTTTAGCATTATTTATGGTTTGGATAGATCAGCTGGCCTCTTGGATGTACACAAGTGAAGTTATAAATATTTAAGATTTTATACTGGATTTTTTTTTTAAGTGTTTTGTCTGGTAACTCATTTCTAAAATTCAGTCTAGTTTAGAAAGTCTGTTTTCACAGAGAAAGACATTTAATACACTTGTTTGAGGGCTGCCTCAGTCATCCCAGTATAACGTTGTTTGCAGTTCTCCAGTGAGTGAAGGTATTGCTCCTTACACTTGGAACCTTTGTTTTGCTGAAATCCCATATAGCAGCATAAATCTGGAAAGAATTTTATGTCTTCTCAAGTCAATATTCCAACAAGCAAAGTGCTCTGCTCTTAATTTCTCTTTTGAACACTTGAGCAAAGTTGGGGCTTTGCTCTGTTGGGCAGAAGCTGCACAGCATAGGAAGAGTTTCATCCACAGCTCCCAGGCTGCTGGGCAGCACTTGGTGTGCATCAGCTCTACCCTGACTACATGGATACAACTTCCCAGGGCCAGCTTTGGATTGCTTGGAATCACTGAATGAGCTCTTTGATCTAAAACTGGTGCTGGAAAGAATGACTGTCTTCCTGTCCTTTCAGCCTGCATTCCATACACTGCTGAGTGTTCTGAAGTCTTCTGTTAATCTACCTATATAATTTTTTTTAATAGGCAGGAATGTGTCTTTTTTCCACTTGAATAAGCTGATAGTTGAAGGAGTTCTGAGAGTGTGTTTGTGTCTGACTTCAGGGCTTTTTATGAGTCTGTGCCTTCCTTGGGGGTGAAAGCACAGACCCAAGAATAGTGGTCTATCACAGTGTGTATCTTCAGGGAAGAGCAGTTACAAGTAAGTAATTTTCTATTCCTGGTTTTGGAAATTGGATATTCTTTTTATGTTAGACACAGTAGTCTGTACAACAGCCTTCCAAGAGTTGCATTTCTAGGCATTTAAGCACAGCAATTTATAAAGCATGCATCCACCTTGCACAGTAGCTTGTCAGCTTCCTATGAGAATCTCTTTGTGCACCAAAGTCACTTGCTGACCAACCAAGTTTTTCTACCCTAGACTGGTGTAGACACTTTTGCTTTAGTTTGCATCTCTGTATAAAAATTTATTTGTACCACTTCATTTAGAAAATTATGACCTGCTGCAGTATTTCAAATATGGTTACCTGGTTTTGTTTATTGTTTTTTAGGAACCAGTGGGTAAAAAAAGAAGTTCAGGAAAAACCACTTGAAGTGGCTGAGGTTACTGCTAACAAGTACTCGTTCAATCCAGAGGTAAGAATGGTGAAGCTTTGATTCAAGATCAAGTTAAAGAAGGCAACAGAAAAACATCATGTTTTATTTATTCATAGTGATATCTGTTTGCTGAATTCAAGGTTTAAAGCTTGCTACAAGGTTTAAAGCTTGCTACATGTAAGGAGCTAGCCTTTATTGGCTGATGAGCATTTCATAGGTTTTATCTAGTAAAACTCCTCCTGAAGGTAGTAAAAGAAATCACTGATGAGTTGTAGGGTATCTTGTAATTTGGTAAAAATAGTGTACTGAAAACTCAGTTTAGCTGTGTTAGTAATTCCATGTATCAGTTCTAGAAGACTGACCTTTAAACTGTATTACACTTCAGCACAGAAACAGCTAATAGATTCAAAATTACTTTTTTATTTCAAAAATTCATATTTTATTAAAGCACACAGGTCAATATTGCACATTCTTAGACCTCAAAAACCTGCAGTTGAAAGGGCTGTTCCTTTGGGTGTTGTGAGGAGCTGCTCAAATTACTTTACTGTTGTTGAAGATCTAACCTATACCCAGGGTTTCAACCTTTACCTGGTGTGACCTTAACTTACAATTTAAAATGTGGAAAGGCTTGGAGATGATTTTTCTTAAAATGCCACTTCTTGGTCAGCACAGAACAGTTTGTGTGGTGAGTCTGTTCCAGCTCACCCAAGACCACCCAAATGTATTTGCTGCTTGAGACAGTCTTGGGCCTGTTATACAGCTGTGCAGTTACAAAGCAGGCAGTGGCTCTATCCCAAAGCAATTAAAATGTTGGAATTAAAACACATTTTAATTTCTCTGTATGCATTTAACAATTACCAGAATTTTATTTGACAATCCAGCAAAAAATTTTATTTTTCCATCATGTGTTATCTTTTTTAGCTTATTTAAAATCTGACCCATCTCTTTTCTCTTTAGAACAAAAATGAGTGCCAGGCAGTTGATTTGAACACAATTATTATAAAAAAAGGAGATGAGTAAAACATAAACAAAAGAGAAAGGATGGTGCATTTGCAGATATAAAATTGACAACTAACATTAACTTTTTTAAAATTCTTTTTTGAAGTTTTTCTTTAAGAAAGAAAGCCCAAGTATCAGCCTGACTTCAGCATCCAGTAGTATCTCACCTATCACAACTCAGTATTTAATTTCCTTTTTTAACTAACTCAAAGCAGCCCCTGTTGTGTAGGTGAGCATTTTCTATATGGATCCAACAGAGATCAGCAATGTGCTCTTCCATACTTCCAAGGTGCATAATAAAGGGGCTTCTTTATTTTTTTTTACTGGGAATTAATTTTTCTGGAAACCTCAGGACACTTGGGAGTTGCATCACTGAATACCTTGGACTGCATCACAGTCCCTGTACCCCAGTACCTTGTCTCCCAATGGATTGCAATTTATCCATGCATTTTTTATTGCATAATGCATGCAAAACCACTGCATGTGCACAGCATGCAGTCAGAATTCTGTGAAATTGGTGCAGATGTTCTCTGAAAACCCCAAGGGTACTTCTAAGCCAGGGCTAGTTCAACAACAAATATGAGCTTTCATCTCCTTTGTTTTTTCAGTTCCATGGCTGCTCAGAAGAAAAAATGTTGCAGGCATTTGGAACACTGTACGAAGTAGGTGGTTTTAATTTCCTTACATAAAATTGCTGGCCTGGTTTGTACACTCTTAAAAAATGAGAAGCAATAAGAAAACCATTTTGTTCTGTGCTCCAAACCCACCTGTGCCTGTGGAGCTTTTCCTATGATTTTGGTTTTTACAGATGTCAGCTTCCTTGTTTGGAGTCTTATTGAAAATTTTTCTGGGTTGGGACCTGTAAAAGATTTCTCTCCCATGCATATGTTTTGTAGTTTGTAGCAGTCACTCCTTAAATCTAGGCCATTGAACAAGCTCGTCTTCCTGTCTGGTAGTTAATGAAGCTCATGGTTGCTCAACTTCCTGGGAGATCTCTGTCAGACTTGAACTCAGCCATGATTTAAAGCTGTTGGGACACCTGTGCATGCAGGAATGCACAGAAGGATCACATCAGACTTGTTTGCATGCTTGTGAGGTGACACAATGCTGTCCCAGGTGATGACCCTCTCAGGAAATATTTGGTGATGTGAAACAGAACCCTGAGACTGCACATACCTTCTCTATGACAAGCTCCTCTTAATTAACACTGTAATATTTATTTTCCATTTGATCACTTTCAGTCTGATTCACTGGAACCAGGGAAGAGGGAAATGGGAATGGACCTGAGGACTCAGTACACCTGTGGCTCAGTCAAGGTAAAGGAATCCAGAGCACACAGAAACGGGCCAGGCAAGGCTAAAGGAGTCTTTGATTCTGTAGTGGCAGGAGTTGAATTATAGGCAAAATAATTTACTGTACTAACAGCTTAGAAAAGATAGTTTCAAATTCTGTCTTTATAGGCTTTATATATACTGTCAACTTTATATATGTTGACAACTCTGTAGGAGGAATGATTGTTTGATAGCTCCATCTGTATTAACATTATATTGTTTTAGTGTTCTTTATAAAGGAGCTTTTTTACCTCTTGGCAGTCTCTTGCATGACTTGGTGCTGTGCCAAGATTTATAATTAAGTAGGTAGAACTGAGCAGTGTTAGGACAAATAATGTCCATTATGTGAGAGAAAATCACTGTGAAAATATCTGCCACTATTATAGAAACACCTGCATGGACTCATTTGGAATATGCCAATTTGGGTGTCGGGAAGATGCTGAATCTGAATAGATTTTTGTGTCCCTTATTTCCTGAGTAGTGAGCTGTTATGATAGGAATGGATTTGGGATCCTGTGTACCTTTCAGCCAGCTGAGTTTGGACAGCAACCATTATTTTATGGCAATGACCACAGAAAGTAGCTGGTTGTACATTCTTTTTCTAGAAAGTATCTCCTATTGCCACCAGACACAACAAACTTCTGGCCCAGCAGGACATTGCTTATGGTCTCATTTAGATAAATAAATAAACAAACACTGTGGTGGGAGGGGGAAAATACAGGAAAACCTATTGGGAATAGGCTCTAGCAGAGTGCACTCATATTTAGGCAGTCATGCTCTTAAATGTACTTAGGCTGTGCTGTCACCCATCCTTCCCCATTGTCACTGCATGGTGGTGACAATACTGAGGTTTCACTCTGCTTTTCTGTTGCACTCACACGTTCTGATTGCACTCCAAACTTGCCTACAGAGACCATTCCCTCTGTTCTCTCAGTATTAACTTAACTTAAGCAGTTTCTAAACTGCACAACAAACCTTTCAGGAGGTGACTCGAGGGTTTTCTGAATTTTTCTGGAACCTTCTCACTTGGTTGAGATGCGAGTGTTAAGCTAATGGAAGAGATTCATTTGCAACTGAAGAGCAAACATTACCACAAAAAGATGATTTACATCTGGCAAGGTTTATTTACAGCCTGCTGCAAATAAAACTGACAAATTACCCCCGCCAGCCCCAGCAGGGTACAAATTACACGAGTGTTTACAAGCTTCTGAGACTTTAAGTCTTTGAAGAGCATTCACTAGAGAAAAATAGTTGAATCAAAACAAGCAGCAATAAGACAGACATCTATATAAAAACTTAATAATTAGGTTAAATCTAAGCAAATGTGGCAGTCAAGGCAACGTGTGATATTGTATCAGCACATGTTGAAGGCAAATTAGGCTCTTTCATTGTTTGACTGAGATTAACTGTGTAAAAGTTAAGGAAGTTAAAGTAGCTTCTCTGCATTTACTCCTGTAGAGGAATCAGAACTTTACATTTCACAATAATGTAGTGTTTTTAAATGTTCCAAAATTTTTACATCAGAGCAATTTCTAAATTTTATGCTAGTTACTTGTGGTAACATTAAATTTTACATACGTCCTTTTTTGTCTTTCTCTCCCCCTAATTATTTTTATTATTCACTTACTCAGTTGAATTCAGTTTTAGTGAATTTGCACTTGATAAACTTGTCTGAAAATAGCAATAAACTGTAAACAAAATAATAAATCCTACGTATTTTGAAGGTTGGATAAGCCATTTTGGTAAAGCATGACTTGTTTTTGCCATAAATGCACTGTTAGTTATGTTTGCCTGCAGTCATTACTCATTGCTAAGTTTCAGTGGGATTGTCTCCTTGAGGTCGAGTTAAAGTTCTTTTGATGATAACCTGCCAAAGATCAGTTTACTTCTTGATCTACGAGTTGCAGGTGCTTGGAACTTGCTTTTGGTTGCTTAAGATTTATTTTCAAACGAGTAGGATGAGAAATATTTGCAGAGATGGAAATTACCATCACAATTTAAATATTAATGCATTGATTTGCAGGCATTCAGGTGAAGCAAACTGAACCACTGATTTTAATACAAGTTACAGTTTGGACAAATAAAATGTCATTTTGTTAGCAGGTTACCATGAGGGAGTCTTGATTTGATACTTGGGAATTGTGCTTTTGAAATGGTTTTGAGATGTTTAGGATCAGCTGAGCTTTTCCACAACACTGAAATTGTCTCCAATTCAGTAGATTGAGTGAGTTTCTAATCCTATAACTGTAGAAACTTCTGAAATTAAATTTGATTTTATAAACATCTGCATAGTCTTCAAGATTATAGTAAGTAACATGATCTTTTGCAGAAGGTGGTGTTTTGGACCCTTTGAGAGGGACTAAATCAGAAGGATTCAGGGGCATGAAAAGCCCTGTTTTTCAAAGTTAGTTTTTTCATGTGCTAAAGAAGTTCCATGTAGCATTACAGTTGGACAAACTGAAGCTGAGCATGATTTTTACATACCAAAAGAATTGCCATGGATGGCAGAGCATGGATGAGGATTGCTCAGTTCCTAAGAGCAAAAATTATTTTTTGTATATATATAGGACATGTTTTTCTTATGTTTTTAATTTTTTTTAATGTTATTACCACTATCTTATGCTTTTAGGAATGTTAGTTTGATAAATCTTACAATGCCCAGCACTCAGGTATGTGCATGCACTCTCTTATTCATCTCTGCAGCACTGGTAGGTATTAGATGGATAAATATTATTGCTCTCATGGATAAATTATAAAAGTCACATGGAGGACGTAAGATTAATTGTCACTGGAACAGTTGCTACTGGAACTTGGGTGTCTCAGGTAAGGAAACACCTTTCCTGATGGTATGGTGATGTCTCTGTTCCTCTGATTTTTGTTTCTAGTTTCCAAATTGGCCTACTAAATTCAAATCTCCAGGGAAAGATTCCTTGTGAGATCCAGCCCGTTACTCCGGGTGAGTGCAGTTGTTTCCTCAAACAGATGGAGTGTTTAGCCTACTTTTTACTGGGGACATTTGTTTCCTGTGCCACATTATGATAAATGCAGATTTGCCTTCCACTGAATTTTTAATGGTAATGCAATCTGCAGAATTGTGTTAAATGTATATTTTTAATGACGTGAATAGATTTGATCCTGATGTGTTTTGATGTCACATCTTTTCCCTGAGTGATTAAAACCCCTGATTTCAGTCTCTCATCCCTCCTCACCTCCATGAGCCAGTACTGCTAAAGGAAACAAGATTATAGTCCTTTAGGTGCTTTATCAGCAGAATTGTCTGTTAAGCTCTGATCAGTTGTACCTGTACCACACCCACAGAGGATACCAGTGTTGTGAAATTGTTCTTGTATATCTAATTTGGCTTCCAGAATCCTTACTGCTGGTGCAGAGGATGGAAAGAACCCAACTTCATCTTAATATCTCAAGCAGAGTTTGAAGGGCTGATAAGTAAGAAAATACCTATCTTCTAAACATCCCTGGCTCTACCATCTTCTTTTAGTCCCATAACTTTAATTGACAGCTGCATTCAAAACTAGGATCATGTGATTTCAAATGCCTGGGTGGAAATATTCCTGTCCACAAGGTTTCTGTGACAACTGAAACGGATGGAAGATGAAGAAAGGGAGGACTTAACGTTGTGCTGCTGCACAAATAAATGTATGTTTACACCTACAAACCAGTAAATTATATTTTTACACACTCGCTGAAGATCTGAAGTGTAACATTGTCAGGGCCTCATCAAAGCTCCTTAGTGCACTCAGAAGAAATGTACCTTTTTGCTCTTGTGTGGTCACTTTAATACTGGTTTCTAGAAAGCACAGTCTTCTGTCCCTGTCATATCCTGTAATAACAATCATTCTTTACTTTGTAATCCCAGTAGGAATCCTGTAACACAGCTAATATAGATTATTCTGCTTCCTGTGGCAATTAAATCATGAATCCTACATATTTTATACTATTTAAGAAGTGAAGCGTGATATGAACTGTAATGACCATGGAGAAATTTGCTTGAGAAAAGTCAGTGGAACAGATTTTTTGAATATGAACTCACTTTCCCTTATGCTTTCTGAAGTGTACAGTAGCCAAATGGCCTAGTATGCAGAAAATTATCCAACAGACTTAATATTTGGACATCAAAGGTACACATTAACTGGGTTTTGAAAAATTTTTATTGTGCTCTGTAAGCCTGGAAATTCCTTAAGAGTCATGGTATTTTCATAATGAAAATGCATTAGCCATTCATCCTCACCGTTTGCACAGTGTTCCTGTGGCAAAATCTGTGTTTACAAAAAAAAAAAAGTAAGAACAGCAAAGAAATCAAACCCAAATATTGAAGTAGGAAGCTGCAGGAGAAGATAATTTCAGGTGAGAATGACACTGCTGCTGGTTTAGATCAAAGGCCACGTCAGCAATGTTTCTTGAAACAATTTCAGACTATAGTAAAGGAGCTGTTTGGGGGGGAGGGGGGAAGCAGAATGGATAATGCAAGAAATGGAGAAGAAAACTGGAGTTTTCTTCTCCAGGGCAGCAACTTTTAATCTCAATTAAAGCAGTGAGCCTAGCAGAGCAGCATGTTAATACATACCACAGGGAGTCAGTGAATACAAATGACCTTTGTGGATTTGGTTTTTGCTGCTTTTCCTCCTGATTGAAAAGGACGCCCAGCAGTTGTCTTAATTGGATGTTAATTGATACATATTCACAGGAAGTAGTGTCTGTGATCTTGCAGCTTGTTTGTATGGAAGAGTATAATGGAACAAAGTGTGAGGAAGTTTTTTAATGATCACAGTGACCTAGCAGAGTAGTAGGAATTTTTAAATGATCTCAGAAATGTTTGAAGAGTCATTACTGGAACAGACATAGCTGCATTCATGAAGCTTTAATGTTCTGCCTTACATTAAAAACATAATTAAACTGAAGATAAACCTTATAATTATGACCTCATACCTCCTGTCAGTGATACTCTCTTATACTTTCTGGAGTCC